CCCCCACTCCCTGTACCCCCCCCCCTGACTGCACCCTCCTCCCTGACTGCATCCCACTCCCTGTACCCCAACCCTAACTGCACCCCCACTCCCTGTACCCCACTCCCTGTACCCCCCACCCCCTGACTGCACCCTCCTCCTGACTGCATCCCACTCCCTGTACCCCTCCACACCCTGACTGCCCCCACCCCCAGTCAGGGGGTGGGAGTGTTCAGTCAGGGAGTGAGGGGGCACTCTGGGTGTCCCTGGCAGTGAGATTTCTCTATCAGGTTTTCTTTTCTTTCTGGCCCTTAAAAGGTTTCACTTGTGATTTCTGCTTCTGCGAAGTTCTTTCATGGCCATTCTCTCTGGCTAGCCCTGGTTTTTCTGCTGTTTTTTTGGCTGGGCACCGGGGAGGCCCAGGGTCCACCCCAGTTAAGGAAAGGAGCCTGCGGGCCTGTGACTCGAAGGCCAGCCAAGGACAGTATGCAGCTCAGGCCTGGTTTGGGAAACAGCCAGACCCTGCCCGCCAAGAGCGAGTGAAGGTCAGGCTGACCAGTAGAGAGGACATTGCACAGAAACGTAAACGAGCCTATAGGAAGGCTGGGCATAAAAAATCCGTTCTTCCCAAGTAAATCCTGAATTCAGTGTAAGTCCAGTAAAGACACTAACAGCTCTTTTCACGGAAACTGACAGACTGAATAAGCTATTTGCAGGAGTAAGAGAACAAGAATACCATGGACCAGCAGTTAGCGTAATGGCTATGTTGCTGGACTCCCACGTAGTCGACTGCAGTTCGAGTCCCGGACCCGGTGGCTTAAATTCACGCCAGGTGCGTGTGCATGCGTGCCCAAGATCCTGAGAGGAGAATGGAGGAGAAGGGATTGCAGCACAGCCCTCCCCCCCAGGGGTAATTTCTCGCTTCCTGTCTCTCTGTCTCTCTCTGTCTGTCTGGCGAGCACACACGCCCTATAGCAAAGACCTCTCCAAAAAAAGGAACAAGAAATAGGAGAGTGATTTTAATAATGAATGGGAAAAGCTCACACTTGTGGCAGTTGGAAAGAAGAAGAAGGAGGACTCAGAGAATTGGCCAGCAAGCCCCGGAGACCTGTGAGGACAGTCGGCGAGCCGGAGCGCGCCAGCGCCAGCCGTACCAATGACGGCAGGGGACCAGTTAGAGCCCTCTTGTGACAATAAGTGCTGTCACAGCTGGGGAACAGGATGGACTAGTCAGCAAATGAGGGTTATCCAGATATTAAAAATTGGGTCTCGGGCCAGCAGGTGGCGTGGTGGTTAAAGCACTGGGTACCACATGGCTGATTCAGTAGTTCAAGACCCAGACCTGCTGTTCTGAAATACACACCGTGTGCATGTGCGTGCACGCCCCAAATCCCCAGAGCAGGATGAAGGCGATGGGACTGCCGCGTGGCCATCCTTCCTGGGGCGATTTCTCACTTTTCCTCTCTGTCACTTTAGAGAGCACATGCACCCTGTGACCAAAAAAATATATAAAGCAAGTTGAATCTGCAACTTAAAAATCAGCAATGGGGCCAAGAGATGGTGTAGTGGTTACATCGCTGTACTCACACGGCTAACCGCAGTTCGAATCCCAGGCCCAGTGTCTTGAAAATCACACCAGGCGTGTGTGTGTGTGCGTGTGTGTGTACATGCCCAAGATCCCAGGAGGAGAATGGAGGAGGTGGGACTGCAGCATGGCCATCTCCCTTGAGGGGTGATTTCTCACTTTCCCTCTCACTGTCTCTCTCCCCGAAGAGCACACACACCCTATGGCAAAAATCTCTTTAAAAAAAAAATCAACAACCAAATAAACCAAAGCTCTAGGTGGATTCATGACTTAAATGTGAGAAGAAATGCTTTGAGAAGAAAATGAAGCAGCCGAAAGGACTTCCTGAGTGAGGCCCAGGGCACAGATTACAGAACAGGTAAGGCGTTTTATGTTAAAGAGAAATTAAACTTCTGTTCCCATTTAAAAGATAACATATTTCCATGCTTTTGAAAAACTAGCAATTTATAGATGCCTACTTAGATATTTAGGGACAAATTAATGTCTGGTATTTGCTTAGAACTGGCTGGGAGCAGGCGTGGGTGGGGTCATTTATAAAAAGTTATTTAGAGACCAGCAGGTGGCGGGGTGACAGTTAGGTCCTGGATTCCCACGTAGTTGATCGCAGTTTGAGGCCCAGACCCAGAGGCTTGAAATTCACACCCGATGCATGCGTGTGCACGCCCGAGATCCCAAGAGGAAGATGGAGAAGAGATTGCAGTGTAGCCACACACCCGGGGCGGGATTTTTCACTTTCTGTCTCTGGTGAACACACGTGCTGTATAACAAAAATCTCTCTCTCAAAAAAAACAAAAAAACAAAAAAAACATTAGGAGTTGGTAATTATTGGGGCTGGGCGATGGGGTATGGGGACTCACCAGACTCTTTCTTTCTCTTTTGTAAAGGTCTGGTCTCGCCAACTCAGCTCCTCAGCCTCTCAGCTGGGACTACGTGCAGGTACCGCCATGCCTGCTTTTGTTTTTTGTAAGTTTATTTATTTTATAAGAGAAGGAAGAGACAGAGACAGCTACCCCAGGAAGGTCTCCCCGTCACGACTCACCCTGGCCCAGCTGGCTAGGATGGCAGACAGGGCGGCCTTGCCGCTGTGCTGTATGGTTCCAGCATTTCAGACGGAGCCTCACGGCATCACGGGGCGGCCTGAAGCCCGCAGTCCTGCCTTGGCCTCCGGGCTCTGGGATCACAGGCCCGTGCTGCCAGGCTGGACGAGGAAGCCAACCAAAGGAACAAGAAATAGGAGAGTGATTTTAATAATGAATGGGAAAAGCTCACACTTGTGGCAGTTGGAAAGAAGAAGAAGGAGGACTCAGAGAATTGGCCAGCAAGCCCCGGAGACCTGTGAGGACAGTCGGCGAGCCGGAGCGCGCCAGCGCCAGCCGTACCAATGACGGCAGGGGACCAGTTAGAGCCCTCTTGTGACAATAAGTGCTGTCACAGCTGGGGAACAGGATGGACTAGTCAGCAAATGAGGGTTATCCAGATATTAAAAATTGGGTCTCGGGCCAGCAGGTGGCGTGGTGGTTAAAGCACTGGGTACCACATGGCTGATTCAGTAGTTCAAGACCCAGACCTGCTGTTCTGAAATACACACCGTGTGCATGTGCGTGCACGCCCCAAATCCCCAGAGCAGGATGAAGGCGATGGGACTGCCGCGTGGCCATCCTTCCTGGGGCGATTTCTCACTTTTCCTCTCTGTCACTTTAGAGAGCACATGCACCCTGTGACCAAAAAAATATATAAAGCAAGTTGAATCTGCAACTTAAAAATCAGCAATGGGGCCAAGAGATGGTGTAGTGGTTACATCGCTGTACTCACACGGCTAACCGCAGTTCGAATCCCAGGCCCAGTGTCTTGAAAATCACACCAGGCGTGTGTGTGTGTGCGTGTGTGTGTACATGCCCAAGATCCCAGGAGGAGAATGGAGGAGGTGGGACTGCAGCATGGCCATCTCCCTTGAGGGGTGATTTCTCACTTTCCCTCTCACTGTCTCTCTCCCCGAAGAGCACACACACCCTATGGCAAAAATCTCTTTAAAAAAAAAATCAACAACCAAATAAACCAAAGCTCTAGGTGGATTCATGACTTAAATGTGAGAAGAAATGCTTTGAGAAGAAAATGAAGCAGCCGAAAGGACTTCCTGAGTGAGGCCCAGGGCACAGATTACAGAACAGGTAAGGCGTTTGATGTTAAAGAGAAATTAAACTTCTGTTCCCATTTAAAAGATAACATATTTCCATGCTTTTGAAAAACTAGCAATTTATAGATGCCTACTTAGATATTTAGGGACAAATTAATGTCTGGTATTTGCTTAGAACTGGCTGGGAGCAGGCGTGGGTGGGGTCATTTATAAAAAGTTATTTAGAGACCAGCAGGTGGCGGGGTGACAGTTAGGTCCTGGATTCCCACGTAGTTGATCGCAGTTTGAGGCCCAGACCCAGAGGCTTGAAATTCACACCCGATGCATGCGTGTGCACGCCCGAGATCCCAAGAGGAAGATGGAGAAGAGATTGCAGTGTAGCCACACACCCGGGGCGGGATTTTTCACTTTCTGTCTCTGGTGAACACACGTGCTGTATAACAAAAATCTCTCTCTCAAAAAAAACAAAAAAACAAAAAAAACATTAGGAGTTGGTAATTATTGGGGCTGGGCGATGGGGTATGGGGACTCACCAGACTCTTTCTTTCTCTTTTGTAAAGGTCTGGTCTCGCCAACTCAGCTCCTCAGCCTCTCAGCTGGGACTACGTGCAGGTACCGCCATGCCTGCTTTTGTTTTTTGTAAGTTTATTTATTTTATAAGAGAAGGAAGAGACAGAGACAGCTACCCCAGGAAGGTCTCCCCGTCACGACTCACCCTGGCCCAGCTGGCTAGGATGGCAGACAGGGCGGCCTTGCCGCTGTGCTGTATGGTTCCAGCATTTCAGACGGAGCCTCACGGCATCACCGGGCGGCCTGAAGCCCGCAGTCCTGCCTTGGCCTCCGGGCTCTGGGATCACAGGCCCGTGCTGCCAGGCTGGACGAGGAAGCCAACCTGGGCCTCCCACAGCACCCCGGCCTGCAGGTACGGCACCCTCACAGCATCCCGTGGCCAGGCCTCCGAGCAGTCTATGCTGCCGTTCTGCACGGTGAACGAGAAGAGCTGGTGCCCGCACGGGACCTGTTTTCACTGACCATTCTTGGGTATTGGCAAGAACATGAAAAAGTAGGAGCTCTCTTTTGGTTGTTAAGTTTATTTTTCTCTTCCACGAGAGAGAAAGATGGGGGCAACAGGGTCTGTGTGCCTGCCCCTGGCAGTCCCAGCTGGCCCAGGTCATGGGCACACGTGTGTGCTGGGACTGCATGCAGCTGCCGCCTTCATGTGCTCACACAGGAGCTGGAGGCAAACCCATGACCTTTACCATGTGGGTCTAGCTGCATCACCACTGCCCCACCACGGAGGCCCCCCAAGTGGGAACCCCAAAACACACGTGTAAGGAACAGATTGCACAGCCTGTCTGGAAGGGACTTCGGCATCTTCTAGGAAAACCGAAGGTGTACGCTTGCCGCCCGGCCGTTCTCTATTTCGCCTGGATCCCAGGTCTCCCCCCAGCGCTCTTTACAGTGCATGGCGGAGAGCCGATGCCATTCATAGAAGCGAGAGCAGAAGACTGAATGGCGGGGGCCGCGGAACAGGACAGTGAGCCAGTGCCCACACGGGAGTGGGCGAGTGTCCCCGCAGGGCCAACCGAGGATGCTGAGGAGGGCAGCATCGGGACACTCAGCAAGGCAGCACTTGGGGGGTGCGCAGTGCCCTCCAGAGAGCTGAGGACGGGGAGTCCGGAACCTGGGTGGGGGGTGTCGTTCAGGGCACAGGGACCACTGCGGAGTCGCGTGTGCAGCCGCAGCCGGGCGGCAGGGCCATGAGTGTGCCGGATCCTTTAAAAAGAATTGTTTTCATTTTAAGAAGGAATATGCTAGAAGAGGCACAAGCATACTCGGAAAACCGTCATTTCAGCAACACTGAGGGCAGATGCTTGGAACCTTCGGGCCGTCGCCTGGAGAGGGACGTGCTGACTCCCGCCCCAGAGGGAAGGCACCAGCTCCAGCCTCCCCACTCCCCCGAGGCCCAGCCATCTCGGCATCACCGGGCTTCTGCGCCAGGCAAGGGCTGAGCCACGCCTGCCTGCCTTCTTCGCCCCACACTGCCCAGGCTGTCTGGGGAGTATGCACCCATGCTTGGTCTCCACGACACCATGCAGTAAACGGGCGTGCAGTGTGAGGGCTTCGGCAGCTCGGGGGAGGCAGGGCAGCAGTGGTAGTGTGGGTAGCCAGGGCTTGGACCTGCTTCTTCCTCCTCGCTCCTTTCCCCAGGCTTCCCAGACAGTGGGAACAGCACACATGCCTGACTCCTAGCTGTGTGCCAGCTTCCTGTCCAGTCAGGTCGGAGGCAAAACAGGGTGGGGATCCTGGCACCAGCACCACCTCCGGGCTCCGGGCTCCTCCTCCCGGCCATCCTGGGGTGGGGGATCCTTGATCTCCTTGCGAGCTCCTCCAGCAGTCCCCAGCTTCCCTGCATTCTCCTTGGGGAGCCCACAGCAGTGGAAGTGGTCTCATGGCTGGACATGCCAGAGTGCTGTGGACTGCGGGCCCGCCTCCTGCCACCTGCTGGGGCCCAAGGGCTGCATGCGCTGTGTGCAGTTCCGCCAGCTCTCGGTCTCATCCGTGGGCAGCATCAGCTGAGGGTCTGCAGATCTGAAAAGCACACAAGGTCACAGGGCCAGCCGCCCTCCCCACACCCAGCACTGGTTCCTCCTAGCTTTCCTACGTCTTCTCATCGCCTCCACACAGTGACAGGCACCTGTCCTGCACACAGCTGCCGTGTACAGCTGTCCCGTGACCTCACACCATTTTGCCTTGTCAGACCACTGTCCCCAGCACCACCCTGTCCCAGCCTGAGCTCAGTGATGATCCGACTCCTGCACTGCCTGCGGCCTGGCCACGCGAGGCCCTGCCCGAGGGGGAGGCCCGCCCTGCGAAGCCAGCTCTGCACGTTGGCTAGTGTGTGTGGTTCTCATTTTACAGAACCAGAGGCCTGGCAGGCAGGGACCGAGGCACCGAGGCGGCCAGCAGTGTGTACATACCCTCTCACATGCCAACACGGGAGGGAGCCAGGACCAAGCCCGGCCACCAGACCCCAGCAGAGGTGCCAAGCAGAACCAGTGCCCTCCCCTGGTGGCCTCCCTCGCTCCCCAGCTCACTTACAGCGCAGGATGGCTTCCTTGACTTGGGGAAAGCCGTGCTCGGGGCCCCTGCCGTCCACGTAGTACATGAACCGGAGCTCAGGCGGGTAGGCAGCTCTGCTCAGGCCGAACAGCAGGGGGATGGTGCAGCCCTCTGCCCCAGGGGCCTCGGTCAGGGCCTGCAGCATCTGGTACTTGCACCAGGGGTCCCCAAGGAAGCCAGGGGTGATGAGCAGCACACGGCAATGACTGCCACTCAGCGCCTGGCACAGCTCAGAAACGATGGCGCCCCCTGGGGCCGCATCCCGCAGCTGCAGGAAGCAGCGCAGGCTGGCAGCGCCGCCCTCCAGGTAGGAGACCAGCTCCTGTGCGGCCACCAGGTCCTGCTCGCTGTGGCACACGCAGACGTCGTAGGCCTTGCTCCAGCGGCCGCTACTGCTGGTGCCCACGGATGTCAGTGGCGGGGTGGGAGCCGGGATCGAGCTGGGGCCTGAGCTCGGTGGGCTGTCACTTGCAGGGTTTTCCGCACAGACCGACATCTTGGGTTTCCTTAGCAAGGCCTGCCTGACCCAGTCTGCAGGGGAAAACACTCAGCTCAGGACCGAGACTCCGACCTGGCCACCTCCAGCCTGACCTCCAGGGCAGAGCCCCGGCCCAAGTCGCCCTGAGACCCAGGAGCAGCCCTAAAAAGCTGGCGCAAATGGAATTCAAGTATCAGTTTAGTTCGTGTGAAAACGGAAGTTGTGGGGTCCACGCACAGCTCTTCACAGTGCTCGCTCACCAGGAGCTTTCGAAGACCCTTGCGTTGCCCTGCCGTCTCTAAGCTGTCTGGTCACTAGGAGCACCAGGGCCGAGCTCGGAGAAATCCTCCGTGGGCTGTCGTGGGCACCACAGTACACCACATGGTTTCCAGCACAGCCGACCGCACCGAGGCAGGGCCTGCTCTGCCATTTGAATGCATGCTTTAGGACTTGCCTGAAGATCCCCCTCGTCAAGGGTTTCAGGGACATGTGTCCCCGGACTCCCAGACCGAGGTGGCCTTGCTCTTCTCCAGGCCTTTGATACCTGCTCCCCCCGAGCCCAGAGCACAGTTTCCACTAGAGCTGACCGGTCCATCTCAAAGCCTGTGCCAGCACTGTGTGTGCGTGGGGGGCAGTCCAGCTTCAGATGGACCCCAAGAAGGGGCTGGCCTCTGGCGCTTAGATGCCCATCATAGCTGAGGAACTGGCTCAGTCAGGGCTGAAGGGCGCACGCCCAGGGTCAGAGCCCCGCTGTAGGCAGGCTGGCTGTCAGCATGGCCCTGAGCCAGTCGGCCGAGGTGCCCAGCCTCGTCTCGCTTGGGCCCATCCAGCTGTGGGTTAATAGCACCTGCTGCAAGTGCCAGCCGCTGCTCACAGTCACCTCCGCCTGTGGACTGCAGGCTGCAGTGCCCGGGCAGGTTCGTCCCTCTGCTCGGCTCCCTGAAGGTTCTGGTGCCAAAATGGGATGACAAGCTTGTGGGACACTCTCCTCACACAGCGGTTTCCAGGCTGGGGAAACCCCACATGGCCTGGGATGCCTTTGAGCTGAGAGAACAGCAGGTCCCCCCAAAGCCTGCCTCCCCCGACTCCACCTGGCACTGGGTCCTGTCAGGACTGCTGCACCCTTCCCAGGGTAGAGAGGAGGACGTACTCCTGGGGACAAGAGCAGAGCTGGGGGTCACTTACCAGTCATCTTGCCCAGGGGCTTCTTGGACCGGGTGTGAGAAGCTGAGGAGGGCGACGATGCCATGGTGTGGGCTCAGAGCTAACCCCGTGAGGCCCGGCATTGGTGAAGCGGGAGGAGGGAAGGGGCCGAGTTCTCCAGCCTACAGGGACAGGAGAGTCACCGTACAGATGCGCACATAGCCCCAGTGGCGGACTCCTGAACTTACTCCACTCTCGACACCCAGCGCGCTGCATCTAACTGGGTTCTCGTCCCTCACGGGACAAGGGACAGACAGCCCTGGGCCTGCCGCTATGGCCAGGCAGACCCAGGGCTGCGCAGTGGGCAGAGCCGTGGGGTGAGGGTTCAGCATGCCCGGCAGGCAACTGTTCCTGCGCCATTTTTCTCCAAGTGTACCGAGGGCCCGGCCATGGTCACTGCAGCAGCTCGTTAGAGACTTGCTGTGCAAACAGGAGAAGACGGCAGGCCCTGCCGGGAGAGAATGTGCACCCAGGCGAGCAGCAGGGAGACGCGCATGAGGGCGCCTGGAGGTGCTTCTCCCAGTGCTTCCCCCACAGCTTCTGCCCAGGGAGGCGGGGTCCCAGGTGCTAAAGGCCGGAGGCTCTGCAGGCACAGCACCGGGCCCGCGCCTGCCGCGGCCTTCAGCAGTCATGCACAGCTCCAGCCTGCCCACGCGCACAACAGAAATACCACCGGAGCCCTGCATCACAGCATCGAAGTGAGTCACGTGCCCTCGTGGGGCACCGTGGCCTCTCAAATGCTCACGGAGATGTCGCGGCTTCCCACCTTTTTATGGACTTTTAAAATTCTGCCAGAGCACATGTGGGCTTGCCAGAGATAGACAGGAGAGGGAGGAAGCAGGTGCCCACATGGGGAATGATCACACAGCAATCCTTTGCCCTCCATGCCTCCATCCTGTAGGAATTTGGGGCACACACAGCATGTTTCTCAAGCCACCAAGTCTGAGACTTGAACCATGGTGTCAGCCACGTGGGATCTGACTTCCTTAACCACCAGGCCACGGAGCAAGCCCGGAGCAATATTCTGTGTTCTAAATAATCTAGATATTGGGGGCTACAGTACGTCCACAGCTTATTTTAGTTCAGTGCTGTCCCAATTCCAGAAGGCCTCCGCCTGGCGTTTGAGCAGGGAGGTCGTGAGACGGCGGCTGCGCTCACAGGGACATGCGGAGGACCGAGCGTGCCTGCTTGGGCAGCCTGGGCCCTTCCCGCCGCAGTGGCCGTGGCGATCACTGGCGGTGAGTTCCGTAGCCTGGGTTTCTGGAGGCGCCCAGACCTGACCTGACCTGACAGGGTCTGTGGCATTCCGGGAGGCTCTCCCACGTGCAGGTGGTGGAGCAGCAGAGGCAGGGGCTGCTTTCTCACTCCCGCTGGATCTGCAGAGGCCAGGGCACCCGTCCGACACCTGGGGGACAAGAGGGTTCCAAGGGAAACATGGGGCCGGCCTCGTCACAGCAGCAGCCCTCTGTGACATAAGCCAGCCAGGGTTGGGCCCTGAGGTGGCTGTGCTCGTGTGTGCATGTGACCCTGGCTGGCTGGGCCTGGGGAGAGTCCCCATGAAGACCCTGTCCAGCCCAGGGCAACTGTCTCTCCTCCCTCACTGTCTCTCCCTCTCTCTCAAAGAAATAAGTGATTTCTTTTCATTTAAAGACTCATTCCGAGGATTAGCAGATGGTGTAATGGCTATGTCACTGGACTCCCACGTAGCTGACCGTGGTTCAAGTTCTGGACCTGCTGGCTTAAAATGCACACCGGACACTTGTGCATGCGTGCCCAAAATCCCAAGGGTAGGATGGAGGAGAAGGGATTGCAGTGTGGCCATCCCTCTTGGGGGGTGATTTCTTGCTTTTTGTCTCTCTGTCTCTCCGGCAAATAAATGTGCCCTATGGCAAAAATCTCTCTTTTAACAACAACAACAACAAAAGACCTGGGTGGGACCAGCAGGTGGCATGGTGGTTAAGGCGCTGGACACTCCCACATAGCTGACCAGGGTTCCAGACCCAGAACTGGTGGCTCGCTGTCTCACTTTCCATCTCTCTGGTCAAATTAAAATAAATGAATGAACAAATAAAAATAAATAAATTAAAAAAAAAAGACCTGGGCCAGCAGATGGCATGGTGTTTAAGGGTGCTGGACTCCCACATGGCCGATGGTGGTTCGAATCCTGGACCTGGCAGCTTCTTTCTCACTTTCTCAATCTCGCTCACCCTATCCCTCTCTGGTCAAATTAAAATACATAAAGAAAAGGATAAGCAAAGTTAAATAAAATAATTCTTTAAAAAAAAAAGACTTATTCCATGTTGGGTACCCACTCTGCCTCCCCAACGCGGAGCGCTATCACACCACACTTAGGGCAGAGATGCCATGGCTGTAGCGTGCAGCCACGCTAACAAAGATAAGCTACGCAGTGTGCACAGAGGGCAGCGGTTTGGAGACTGTGGGGATAGACCTGGAGTGGCCTCCAGGGCGCAGCTGTGTGTGTGGGAAGCACACCAAGTCAACTGTGTTTTAGAGAGATTTTTGCTATCACTGGAGAGAGAGAGAGGCTGAATGGCCACATTGCAACCCCTTCTCCATTCTCCTCTTGGGATCTTGGGCACACACACACACGCGCGCACACGCGTGCACCTGGAGTGAATTTTAAGCTGCTGGGTCAGGGACTCGAATCGCAGTCAACCACATGGGAGTCCAGCAACATAACCATTGTGCCATCTGCTGGTCCGAAGACTGACTTCTAACACGACGGCGGGGCGATGTGTCACTCCCACGATGGCGTTACTGTGGACGGTGTGCACACACGACAAGCTGTCCTAGCCTGTTACTGTGTCGCCTGTAGAAATTCGTGAGACTGGTGACTCCGGGGAAACGGTGTCACCTGACACGATGCTGGCCATGGCCATGAGCAGGGTCCAAAGGCACGAGGTCCCAGAGGGCAGGCTCAGGCTCAGGCTCTGCCTATTCTGGTCTCTCATAACCACGCCAGAAAACCCGCCTAGGCCAGTCCCATGACCTGGTGGTTAAGGTAGCTGGACCCTCTGTGCGTACACCCCAGAATCCCAAAAACAGACAGACCGAGAAGGGGTTGTGGCAGGACATTCCCCACCGGGCACTTCCCCCTCCCTTTCACTCTCTGGGAGCACGAGCCCTCAGGAAGGTTGGAAACCGACACACAGAATGAGCGAGGTGCCTAGCCCGATGCCCTTCTCACACCCAAAGGCCACCCTGGACGTCGGGGTCAGGTTTTCACTAACACCCTGGCAGCACAACCGAGTCCCGAGAGCCGGGAGGAGGCCAGATCACAGCGGTGCTGTACGAAGAGGGTGCTCAAGTGGCCAGATGACATCTGTGGCGGCACACAGGCCAGAGCCCTGCCAGTCCAAACCTCACCACGGACGCCCAGAGCGGCCACAGTGACAGGGAGTCGTGTGCTGGCGAGGGTGCGGAGGACGGAGGACAGGGCCCACTTGGCTCTGGTAGAGGTGCAGACCGGAACCTCAGAGAGCTGCTTGGCATCTGGGCAGGGCCCAGCACACATGGCCGGCTGCAGTCCCACTCCCAACCAGCGCATCCACACGTTCCCCCAAAGCCGTACGTACCCACGACGCCTGCCGCGGTGTTCCAAATAACCCCAGGCTGGGCAGCTGTACCGTCCACCCAGCTGCCTGCCAGGATGCGTAAATATCTCTGGGCCCGGAGCTTCCAAACGGTCAGGAAAAATGCAAATTATGTGAGGAGGGCTGAAAAGAAAACAGGCAAGCAAGGGTTAATATAGAAGCC